ACCTGCGAGACCACGACCAATCCTCGCTCGGAACTCGCAAGTGAAGTCCTCTATCATTGCACCAAACAAGGAACATGGCCACAAAACATAATCGCTGCGCTTCCAGGGCTCTTGTCGGCGGTCATCCGATGTGCGCCAAATTGGGTCAATGCAGCGTTGAACAACAATCATGAGCCCATGGCCCACCAATCATTGGTGTTTTCTGTGGCTGGTATCGGAAAAATCCCCCCAGTGAATAGATGAATTAGTGTCAAGGCCACTCTATCGTGATCCTTCGCTGAGAGATAAGTCCTTTTGTTTTGATTGCGAGGGTTATTGTCTAGTCGAGGCAAACACACTCTTGCTCGTGTCCAGACAAGCACTATGGACTGCATCGCAGGTGTTTCCACATACAGCTTGGGAAGACCGAAGGCACACAGGTTTGACGAGATTGTAGTCGTTGAGGAATGCCTTTCCGCAATCCTCTCCCAGCCATTTCAATGATGGGTCGTGATGTACTGACCGTTGTTTGATCTCAGTTTGCAGCAGCCGTCGAAGAAGATCCCATATACAGCAAGCCGCAAGATTGGAAACACGGACAATTGTAACCAATAGATGGTTCTTGACTGTTGTAGTAGGTCTTGCAATCATGTCGATATGAGGGAGCTTTCTCTGTTTCGAATCTGGTTTCGAAGGTCTACGGCCACACTATCGCTACAAGCGACTGAGCTCAGGTCAGAACTCGAGAAGAGTGATACTTGCGGTGCATTATCAACTCTTTTGTGGCTCCTTGGAACACATATTGACCGTGAGCGTGTTACTCGCGCTCAGGATTTAGAGGTCCTCGAGTACCGACCAATGTCATGGTGACATGTTGGCTGGATACTGGGCAGCAGGCAGCGCGCGTTCCTCGCTCCGGTTGACTCCACTGGTACTGATCAGGAGGTCGAGATTGATGTGCGGAAGTTTATTTCGCATTGTTTGTCGCAGGAGGTAGCTTTCGTTTCCATTCAATCTAGATTTGCAAATTCCTACGCTGAAACGTACTAAGATTCTTCGTCCGCCGAATGTATCCATCAGCGAGCAATGCGCGCTTCAAGTAGGCTTTTCGACTTTTGTGTTTCAGCGCTCATCCTCTTCTCTGCGTGCGATGCGCATCCTCTTCCAGTGGTCGCTAAGACCCTACCTGTGGGATAGAACGGAGACACATTGAGCATCGTCGACCATGTCCGGCCCCAGTGGCAATTCATGAATGTCACCTCGTCTTCGGACTGTCTTGACGCCAGATGTCCAGCAGGACCTCTGTCAATGAGAACCTGAAGAAGAGACGCATTGGGAAGCCGGCGTCAATTGCTTCTGGCCTCCAGGGTCCCCATGTATGGCCAGATGGTGGGGAAGGAGTAATGCCTGCACTTGCTGGGGCATTTCAGACGAATTCCGTAGGTATAGGATCTCGCAGGGTGCGGTCAGTTCAAACCTGTCGTCCACTCATCAAGGTTAGTATCGCTCATGGTAATGGGCAGGACCATTCAAAGCAAAGCTTGAGAACACGTTACAGAAGTTTTGACCGTCGATATCCGGCCAAGGTCGCTCAATTGATGCAAGAGGAAAAAATTTTTCTCTCTTTAGTCCTGGGCGTTGCAGAATTGGGACGAATTGGCGCCCCTTTCCTGAAAACATTAGGTAAATGCATTCTACCAAGCACGACTGGCCAGGATTACAGTGTTACACTGGCTGCACGAATGGAGTCGTATGTTGCCTGAGGAAGCAAATATCATGTGTCTAGACCCTTTCACGTCTCTTCAATCGACAGTATTTATACTCGCACATAACCACAGCGGTAAGGACATCTTTTCTACAGAATGTCCTCAACATCTAGTTATCAATGCCTCTGTTCTTCTCTCTGACGAAATCTGTTGGATTTGACATCCGTTCCTGGGCTAGTCTACATACAAGATGGGTTTGATGCGCACTGATCTCGGCCTATCGGTTTCCTTCTGTCATCAAGCTGAATCTTACTTTCCCACTGGATGTTGAAAGATTGGCTTCACACCACCAGTCACTTGACAACAGGCTTAGGAGGATGATCGTCGATCGCGAAAGTTTGCCAGATACGAGCGTGCCACCTCATAAGCGAGCCAAAAAAGAAAGGCGAAAAAAAAGGGAGAAAAGACTAAGTTGGGCCTTGATTTGCCCATACGCACTAGCTTCCCTTCAGATTCCTCTTCTGCTTCTCTGCAGTCAGATCCTTTGCTGCCTTGCAACAGTTTGGGAGAAAATTTTCATGATCAGGCCATCCGAGCATCAAGCAATCGGACTGACAAAGGACAATCTCCAACAAACTTTCGGATGCAGGTACAATCCTCGATAGGGATTGCGTTATCTCTACGGTCGGAGCTCTCCGAAAGCCCTCGGTCATTCAGATTTGCGATATTATTATGTCTTGGTCTCGGTGGTGTGATAGCTGATCTTTCGTTTTCAAAGGTCAATTGGACGCATTATTGCGCGATAGCATGTGAGACATGTCTATTCAATGCAACCATTTTATCAAAGCTGCGGGGTGCACGCAGTATGTGAGCTGCCAATACCCATGCCAATCGTTGCCAGCGTCCCACTGGTCCACTTAGACAGCACGATGGAGCGAAGAACGAGGGCTGGCTTGGCGTCTATGGCAAAAATGGGTAACTATTGGCTGGCATTCATCGTACAGGGGGCCTGTCCTGTCACTTGAAGGCACACTAAGCATGATCCCTGTTCTTCAAGACCGCCGGTTCATGCTCCAAGTGTCTTGTCCAACATAATAACTCACAGGGACCGGTGAGGAGATTGGCACATGCTAGCGGCACGAACTAGCCCAAAACGCGCCTTTTTCCCTTACGCTCAGACATCTGCTGTTGCTTGCGGCTTGCCACCTTCCAAAATAAGCTATGCGCCGGTGACCGAGGTAGAATCCTGCGCTAAGATTGCTTAACAGAATCTCGACACTAATTAAAGCCTCTTGGCATTGCCTGTACCTTTCCAGCAGGTCGGCCTTTTGTGTTTCCACAAATTGAAGAGTAAGTTCGGACAGGCCTTTTTTCTAATTAGACAGGAGGTATGATCTTCTGGCTAAAGTGGCCTAGAGCCGTGACTTTCAGTTTTACCAATTTTATTCTGTTTGGAACGGGCTCATAAGTCTGAGACTTTTCATGCGGGGATGTCGGTAACATCCTAGCAGCCTATTCTGATTCAGAGGGTCCACAAGTCAGCTGTTAATGTCCGGTGCCTGTCGGGTTGGCCAATGGCACAGGATTGACCAATGCGACTTTACGACGTGTTTTTACACTGGACAGTCGAACCCCTGTCCTGCGCTACTGATCACTGAATCTCGGAAAGTGAAGGCTGTTCGTCAAGTACCTGACCGTGGGCTGCAGCAGGACAAGTGCAGAAGCGAATCAGGATTCCAGGCGAAGCCATGTCTCCATAACTAATTGATGAACAGTGACGTCTCCTCAACCAGTCTGTTCAGAAGCTTCCCATGGCTTACAGCCCGAACACGAAAGGTGCATCAACTACCATATGCAACACTCCTATTGGGACGGATCGAAATTAATCTCCGACCAGGCAGTAACCGGCAAAATTATTACCGTAACTAGCCGTTTTATTCCACGTCGAGATCACATCATCGGCGGTCTGGGATAGATAATGGCTATCTCCGCACTGGTTGGTTCGATATAGATACATTTCGGCGACGATCGCGCCTGCTCACCAGTCACTAGTCATGCTTTGCAATCGCAGGCGCCCAAGACTGATTTGCATGATTTCCCCTATCCGGGTTGGCCATACTAAATTTAAATGCTTGGTCTCTTTTCAAACCCGCAAGGGTGATAGCGAAACAGAAGAGACAAGTGAAGGGAAATTTGATTAAGGATGATTAGACGGGACCAGAAAGAGGCCCATCGATATCGCTGCTCCACTGTGGGAAAAATAAGACAACCGCCATGATGCAGCATCCGCCAGACCCTCCGCAAGATTACCAGCTTGGATGATCAAGATAAGCAACGTTGTCTATCAACAAATCAAATGTCCCGGACAATGTCTTCCAACTAATTGCGTGCTGGGGTTGCTTTTCTCCTTTTCTTTCCATCGCTAAATCTAACCCCTCATTGCTCTGAAAGCGGGAATTTCAGAGAATCCGGTTCTCATCGGATGCAGGAGGATTAAGATGGCGCATGTCAGTCAACCCCTCTTTGACTGCAGCCTGCAAGTATCGCTACCACCTTCTGCCTGTTTCTACTTTTCTAGAAGCCCGCTAGAGGCGCCTCTTGGTTGCATCGCGCCCCTGATTAGCTTTTACCCCAGGTTCAAGATAGGCTGGCCCGGCCGTGGCGGCGCAGAACACCCAACTTCCAGCGGAGTCTATTTCGTCAATGGCTAGCAAGCTAACACCATTTCATTCCCCTAGCCCATCATGGCCTGTTAAAAAGGCAATTGTCTCGCTCCACATGTCCAAGCTACTTAATGATTTGCGCTGGATCTTCGTTTTCTGGATTCCCACACCCGTCTGTTTCCTCTCCGCCTATTAGATAGTCATAGTCATTGTTGGCTGCGGATCCATCAGTACCCATTCTCTGAGGTCATGACGCGCACCACTTCTGTTGAAGATGTCAAATTTGAGATCCCCGCGTGGGAGAACTCGAAGGTCGATGTCGCTGACGGCAGCGGCCGACCAGAATCCAGTGCCAGTGGCGACACAATTCGTCCAAAAGGTCGCATACGACGATCAATGACGGCCTGTAATACTTGTCGCAAGCTGAAGACCCGGTGCGATTTAGATCCACGCGGTCATGCTTGCCGCCGCTGTCTCTCCTTGAGGTTCGTACCATAGAAACTCTACACTGAAGGATACGAGACATTCAAATCCTGAAACTCTCTGTTGCTTCAATTGGCCGGCTGGGATCGAATTTTTGCTGAACATGCTTTCCTGCAGGATAGAGTGCAAGCTGCCTGAGACAGCTGAGCGCTTTCAAGATAATGCTTCAATGTGGTCGGATGCCACGGCAGCTATTCCGTCCATTGAAGAGCGCCTCATCTCGCTGGAACGAAGTATGACAGAAATGACCAGCATGATGCGACAGATGATGGACCGGTCACCCAGTATATCTGGCAGCTCGGTATCCATGTTGACAAGGAGTGGTATCACCGATGAGACCGCTTCGATTGAAGGAAGTCAATCGTCTTCCTTCGCTCCTAGACCTATCCGTCTCCTTCAGGACCTGCAGTCCGACTTTGTGGGTGAGGCAAATGTCCTACCTGCGGATTCAAGGTCACTCGGTGATCCTTTCACCAAGGGAATCATCGACCCTAAATTATCTCAGAAATTAATTCAGTTGTATGCCACCCTTCTTGTCTGATTTTGACCTGTCTGAGGATCTCTCCGCTAATTTACTCATCCCAAAGGTTTGTTGATCATTTTGGGATCTGGATCTCGGTCGACAATCCGTCAGATATTCATAATGAGTTGAGAGCTACAGATCCGCTGCTCTATAGTACAGCTTGTCTACTAGCATCTCGCTACGTTCCCGGTATACCATTATCCGTAATCCATGCTATGTATCTTCAGATACGGCATGCAGCAGTCAACGTCCTCTGGAATAATACACCCCTCAAGCACGAAACTCTTCAGGCTCTTACTCTACTTGCCTTATGGCCTACAGCAGTACAAAAGGAGACTCCAATGGATAGTTGGTTGCTGAGCGGGATCTCGATCAACCACGCTATCATTTCCTTTGACTTTCTCAACCATGCTCCTGCCGAGCTTATTGTGGACAATGACATGGTCGCGAAACTCCGCGTATGGAATGCTCTATGCCTGACTCAGTTACAGTATGTATTCACCATATTTAAGGGTTTACACGGCATTTGCTAAGAGAGCCTCTAGGTCTGCCATTGGAAACGCTCGTCCCTTTCACATACAGCAGAGGTACCTCGAGCATTGTCCACGACTGCTTGAGCACCCAGCTGCTACATTTGAAGACGGAAAAATTGTGGCGGAGATCCAGTTATATCTGATCGCCCTAAAGTTGCAGAATTTCAGCCACCGTATGCGGCTGGGAGACTTTGAATACGAGGAAATCGAACGCTGGAAGATGGAGTGGGCACATCTCTTAAGTAAGCAAATAACCGTGGACCATATGTCATAGGAGGTGCCCTAACAGATTGAGCAGCTGGCGAGCAACATTCGACACTAGAGCTTAGCCTCTGGTATTGCCAACTACTACTCTATCGAACCGCAATGAGGTTCCATTGGGAGTCCGAACACCTTATCTCAGAAATCCTTCGTAATTCGCGCCTCATTCTCTCAAAATTCCTATTGGTCCGGTTTCCGAACGCACTCGCCTTCCCAGATCAGATATACTACATCGTGGGCTACGCCGCCCTGAATCTCTGCGACTTTAGCCCGATGGATCCGCTTATCGACCAGGTCCAAACCTTCCTGCTTCATCTGTCACCGAACGAAGATCACATTGCCTACCGCTTCTCATATACAATCACAGAGCTCAAGCGCCGCTGCGCAGCAGGGCCTAACCCCCACAATGCAGTCAAAGGTGCGTTCGGGGATACTCGGAAACTGAGCATGGGACAGCAGATACCATTCATAAATCCATTGATGGATACCATGATGGGGGAGTACGGTGGCTTGGAGCATCTCATACCCGAAGTTCCTCCACACTCCTTGCCCGATATGCTCACCAGTGTAGCTGGTGAGCTGCAAGCGTTTCGTACAGCGATTCTTTGATATTGTCAATCGTATATGGGATTCTTGCATGCACTGTGACCAATATGAATGCGCCTCGTGCATGCGCGAAACAGCCGTCCGTACAGCGCGGCAGTAATGTATTAGTTTTTCTCTTTTCACAGCGTGAAGCAGGCTTCACCTCCCTGCGTCGGGCGATTTTCAACCCTGTTAATTATTCGACTTTGGCGTTTTAATTTTGAAATCCGCTCTGGCTTTCTGGCGCTAGGTTTCATTACGTGAAATCATAGACGTCCCGACTGTTTTCATTGCTTGAGTCTATCGATCCTTCGTTTGGAGGGGTAACGACTAAGGTAGGAGACTTTAGGAGTTTAGGCTGTAATTGCCATAGTCTGAATACTCTTTTGAAAGCCGATTATGGCACGGATGTCTAAAACTCGATCGCAAGGGCGGATTGTCAAACAATGAATCCTCGAGGGTCACTTGTTCCACTTGTTGAGATGTATCTTATCTTTCCGCGATATATATTTGATTGTAGCAGTATTAGCCATATTGATCGATATAAAACAACGCAGCCATGCAATTCACTATATATACACTCCTACAAAGAACACGCACGAAGAATCGATGCCAGTGAAAGTTTCCAGAGAAACCATATCGCGATGGCTGCTGCTCAAGTACAAATTGTACTTCCGTCCAGCCCAGCCGTTGGGTAAAACACCCGGGGCAAGCCACTAGCCATGGGAACGGGGACCTTCCCGTCTGAGCCTACGGTCACCGTGGTGCAGGAGAACACCTCAGTCAGTTGTTGTCCGGCCTCATAGCCTGTTCCGCTCAGTGAGAGCGTGTAGGAGCTTCCGGAAGCACCGAGGTTCGAGAGGACGGTGATGACCTGCGCTCCGTCGGAGCCTTTCCGCATGGCGATGGTGGAGGTATCTTTGTAGATGGGGTTATTCTGTGGATTGAGTTAGCCCGGCTTGATTGTAATGGTCGTTCTGGGAGTGAGCGCCTCGTACCTTATAAGTCATGTATCCTGGGTCCTTGCTAATGGCGTGATTCCGGATGGCGTTTGCTGTCGCGATGAGCTTGTATAGCTCGCTCGTTTTTGAGTAGCCGGATAGCCAGACTGCCTCGCGGTTTGCGGGATCCGTGCCACCGCTGTAATGCTGCTCCTGGCCGGCGTAGATGATTGGGATTCCATCGGAGAGGATGATGAATGCTGCGGCGTTTTTGGCGAGGGCCATGTCGTTGGTATACCTGCGAGCGGGGATTCATCAGGACGCTGGAATGACGATGAGTCTAGGAAGAAACTTACGATGCGAACCGGGGAGTATCGTGATTTTCGACAAAGGTGCCCAACAGCGTCGAATCGGCGCACTGCGACTTGACCGTGTTGATCATATCGTAGAGGCCGCTCATACTGCCACTTGTGGATTGGAAGGCTTTCAGAAGCGGATAATATCTGCTCTAGTCAGACGCGCAGCAATGCACAGGGTTCATATGTGTATGCGACTCACATAGGGTAATTCAGCACGCCGTCCAGGACCTCTTGGTAGGGGCAAGTGTACGCTGGATCTCCATCAAATACCTCCCCGATGCAGTAGACACCTGCAGCGTCATTGAACCCCGGCCAGAAATCATTCTGGACGTGCTTCACAGTGTCAATTCGTAGGCCGTCGACTGTAGCATATCGGTCAATTCTTGGTTTTGTGCAGATACCAAGAGTACGTTCTTACTGGAATAATTAGACACTAAAGAGGTCACCCAATTGTACCAAATCTTTTGGACATCCGAATTTGTAGTATTAAGATCCGGTAAAGGAACAACATTGTCTCCCAACCAGCAATCTTCCACGTCTTTCTGATTATCGTAGTTGCTGATGAAGCACAACGGATGGAAGTAGGCCTGAGAGTTGAAAGGTTTGAAGACACTATAGTCGACCGAATCGCCTGCACCGGCATATCCCTGGTTCAATCAGCAAGGAGTACATCAATGGGCTGAGTCCAGCGAACCATGTGATTGGCAACAACGTCGACCATGAGATACATGCCCCTGTCGTGAAGAGCTGACGCCAGGGCTTTCAGGTCGTCAGCGGTCCCATAGTTGGAATTGACCGAATAACTTACCGAGTCAGCAAAAACCAATACGAGTATGTGGGGATGACTTGATACTCACATGTCTTGCTGCCAGTACCCGTGGTATGCAGTGCCTTCCGATGTGTCCTGGGGAAGTTGCTCGGTGACCGGGGTTATCCAGATTGCTGTAAAGCCCATGCCTTGTATGTAATCGAGCTATATTGACCCAAATCAGTCATTGTTACACTCTCAATCTCCACACTAGTTAGAGAACGCTTTCTGACTTGTTTGATGATGCCTTGCCAAGTACCACCACAATACTCCTGTTTCACGTGTCAGTACACCATGGCTTGTGAAGGGAGGCTCGTGTAGCTGACTCGAGCACTAGTATCACACGAGGCCGTTGTGGAACCGTCAGTCCGTGCGAATCGATCCGTGAGTAAGAAGTAGATGGACTGGGATCGCCATTGCGCTGGAGTGGCCGCCAAAGCTGTCCCAGCAAGGCAAGAAAGAAACAAGGATGACCAGCGTATAGGCATGCTGATCGTGCTGTACACTCAACAAGCCCGTAATCTCGTCTCTTGTCAGGAATGGGAAGAGCCAGGTAGGGGACTCATTGGGGGCCTTTTATAACCGTCAGACAAAGATGAAGCAGGATATCAACAGACAGTAGATCACCACCAAATGCGTATTTCACGGTTTCCACCCATCTCGAATCGTCAGCGATCAAGAATCCTCGCGGAATAACCTCAGAAGCGGACGATAATGCCATTAAGGATTGAAATAAATCCCCTGTAAATGTCCGCCCCTGGTCATCCAGCATGAGGATCTGCCGGTCGGTATTCAGTTTGTGGACTACTGCGTCGCCCTTGCAGCTTCGATAGAGGAAGATCAACATCATCGTTAAACGTAGCAGCTGATTCGACGCCACATACGGAAATGGACCGATCGCATTTTGCACCGATAGGCTGACGCGGGGAAGAGATGATGTATCATGTATGCAAGCAAGAAGGGGTGTCAGGTGGTTCGTGTCTTTCAGCCTTGTAGTGAGACCGCTGAGTTTCTCGTTTCGTTTTCCTTACTTCCCCTCCATCATCATCACTGTGATCTACTGAAGGCAATTCATCGATAAGAGCATGTGAAAGCTGTGCATGCGAGGCAGTCTTCGTCCGCCTTGATGAAATGAACGATGAAACACCGCGTCTGGCCGAGATGACGAGGAGGCAGTTCCTGACGATCGCCATAGGCGTCTTGACCACTGTCAGCGCCCTCTCGGACCCCGCTCAGATTGTGATCCCAGCAACAATAACACCCCAGACGACGGATCCCTTGGTGTCATGGTTAGCGCAGGAAACTTCATATGCCCTCGATGGTGTGTTCAACAATATCGGACCGAACGGGGCCAAGGCGACCGGCGCTAGCTCTGGCATCGTCATCGCTAGTCCTAGTCAAAGCAATCCGGACTGTGAGTGATTATTTCCTCCGTACCATGATGGTTTCTTCATTTACTGCAACTGACCTGGCTGACCTGTGGTTGAGACTACTATACCTGGACTCGAGATGCCGCTCTCACCATCAAACACCTCGTTGGTTCTTTTGCCGCCGATCACGATCCTGCACTCCAAAGGATCATAGAGGATTACATAGATTCCCAGGCGCACTTGCAGACTGTCTCTAACCCTTCCGGAAATCTTTCAAGCGGAGGCTTGGGGGAACCCAAGTTGAGGGTGGATGGATCGGCATTCCGTGGCTCCTGGGGGCGTCCACAGAGTGATGGGCCCGCGCTGAGAGCAACAACATTGATATCCTACGCAAACTTGATGATTGTATGTTTTTGCTGTCTTCGATAAAGATTGAGCTTCCTAACTTCGAGTATTTTAATAGGATAATGGTTATTTCTCTACGGTTGAGTCAAGCGTCTGGCCAATCATTCAGAACGACCTTTCCTATCTGACGGAATTTTGGAACTCTTCTACTTTTGGTACGTTTGTATGTTTCTCATACGGGAGGATAATCCAGTGACCAAATCCGGTAGATCTTTGGGAGGAAGTTCGCGGCTCCTCATTTTTCACCACGGCAGTCCAGCATCAAGCCCTCAGCCAAGGTGCAGCTCTTACCCAGAGCCTTGGTAAAACCTGTTCGAACTGCCAGTCACAGGCACCGCAGGTTCTCTGTTTCCTGCAGACTTACTGGACTGGCTCGTCCATACTGGCCAATCTGTATAGTGATCGGTCCGGGAAAGATGCCAGTTCAATACTAGGCATCATACATACTTTTGACCCCAATGCGGGCTGCGACGGAGAGACGTTCCAACCGTGTTCTGAGCGGGCGCTTGCAAGCCACAAAGAAGTCGTAGACTCCTTCCGCTCGCTCTACCCGATCAATGCAGACATCCCTCAGGGCCAAGCTGTAGCCGTGGGTCGGTACCCAGAGGATGTCTATCAAGGTGGACACCCTTGGTATCTGTGCACTTTGGCAGCAGCTGAGCAGCTATACGATGCACTTTATCAGTGGGAGAGGTTGGGGTCCCTCGCCGTTACAAATATAAGCCTCGCGTTCTTCCAGGACTTGTACCCATCAGCTACAGTTGGGACCTACGCGAAGGACACCAGCACATTTGCCTCTATAACTGCAGCAGTTCGAGATTACGCAGATGGATTTCTCCGCGTCGTGGTAGGGGTCACTCTCTAGCCTTTTGCCAGAACAGTGTCAAGTACTAACATGACCTCACAGCAAAAATACACACCCCCGAATGGCGCCCTCGCAGAGCAATTCTCGCGCTACGACGGCTCCCCCGTCTCAGCGCAAGACCTCACTTGGTCCTACACATCCTTTCTTACTGCAGTTCAAGCCCGAAGACGTGCTCTTAATCCTTCCGCATCACACATCCAACCTCTCCTCCCAAACGCAACCACCGCCACCGCCCTCCCCCAAGTCTGCACCCCTTCCTCCGCACGAGGACCCTAC